GATCAAGGGTTTTAGAGAAAAAGGTGAATGAAACACAGGTATCAAAAACTGTGTTCAGCCACCTTAAAGTATCCCATTATCAGTGAGAAGTAGAATGGTACGTTTGATAGAAGCTAGATGTAGCTACTTATACAAGGTATCAGTTGTTCTTTGTTCGGAACCTACTGCGTCAACTGCAAAAAGGCACATTTTCATTTTCATTGACTATAAAAAAAGAAAGAGTGACGACATAGAGCCTGGAAACAAAACCTTTTGGTCTAAGCAAAACTTTCAAATAGTCAATGAACAATTTTAGAAATTATTGTAACTTCCATGTTTGTTTACACTGAAATAAGATTTGTTTGTTATTTCCCTGCGAAACAGAAGATAAGTTCATCTATGGCTGGGTAATTGTGTTAAGAATCAAAACCAGCAGTTTATGGTAACCCACCTGTGGCCTTCGTATACAGCCTCCTCACCGGAAAAAAAAGACGGAAGAACAAATCGTCCCTTCTCGAGTCTTCTATTGAACAAAAACCCTGTTATGGCAGAAATAAAGAGGCGGGATGATGAGTACCTCTCAGGAGCAACTCAATTTGACTACTACCAACGATGGATACTGGCACTGGCAAGATAATGGCCAATATAGCACTTGGCATGAATTTCAGTCAATAGAAATCTGCTAAGAACGAGGTCTATTGGTACGCACCGTAGGCTGCTGATGTCACCATACGTCGATGAAAGTGTCGAGCGTCCTACCAATAATATAACTGGCAATCTTCTTTCACAAACCATAAATGGTAAATGTTTAAACTTAACTATTCGGTTTATCAACCCAAACTTCCAATAGGAAGATGAAAGGCCAAAAAAGTGAAACCAGCTTAAAACTCAACACTCAATGTAATTAGCTAAATATTGCATTTCTCAAGATCAATTTCCGAGCTGCCTATTTTAAGCAATCGCGACGAGCGAGAAAGGAAAATCAGTTTTCTACAAGTTCAAGTGTGCATGAATGAAATACTCCAGTTTTAAATGTTTATTTTCAATGGCCTGTGTAAATTAATTTATTATCAGTAAGACGTAGTGCCGTGGATTTAATAGAAGCCAGCTAAAGCTACATATAAAGATCTCATTTTTTGTTAGGAACCTACTGCATCAACTGCAAAAAAGGTGCATTTTCATGGCGTATTACCGATGAAAACAATCAGAGTGACTTCATCGAGTGTAAAGATAAAAGATAAGATACCATATTTAACGTAGAGTTACGCTTAGCTTAGCTAATCAGCTAGTTTACAGGTAATTCAAGGCCCTAGTATATTCTAAAAATCAAAACTATAAATGTACAATTATTGATTTAATAATAAAACTATAAAGACCTATAAACGCAGAGAACTAAAAATCTAAAGAATCAAATCACAATAAATTCCGACATCAGTCAAACTTACGCGATCGAATTTTGTTGTTCACTTCATTAGTGCCTACTTTATTTCTAATATCATTTGCTAGCTCGTTCCATTTCTTTCTCTTAAGCAAAACTTTCACTATTTTTGAGACTATTTTTAATTACAACTTTACTGGCAATAAAAGGAGAGACAAAGACATTTTTTCGCTATTTCCCTGTGAAACGGGCAATCAGTTCATCTATGGTAGTTTCACTGTGTAAAGAATTAGAACTCACCTGCCGTGTGCATATACAACCGCCTCGTTTGAAATAAAAGAAAACAAAACAAATGTCTCCTTTCGAATCTTAGATGTACTGCAAAGATCCAAGTTAGGCCACAAATAATCAGCCGAGATGATGGGTCTTTTTATTTCAAGGAATCATTTTAATGTACACGACTACTACCGAGCATAAAAAAAAAGTCAGGTTAAAGTGTTTTTTTTGGCAGGATTCTGGCGCCGGCAGGAAACTGGCCAATATCTTACTATACTTCGTATGCTCATAGGTTACTGAATTCAGTATACGTCGATGAAAATGTCCCTCAACCAATGTAGCTGACGATCGCCTTTCAAAAGTCCTCCAATTGTAAGTATTAAAAGTACTCAGGTCATCAACCTAACAATACTTTCCGACTGATACATTCTAATTGAGTTTACCTTACTATTTTGAAATAGGAAAATAAAACGACAGAAAAGTGACAGCAACTCAATACTAGAAACTCTTAATGTAACCAGCTAAATCTTGCATTTCTTAAGATCGATTTCCGTGAGTCGACAGTTTTTGAATTGAGGGTAGCCTAGCTACTTTTGGCAATGACGACGAGTGATAAAGGAAAAACAGTATTGTGCGAGTTTAAATATAGGTACATGAATAAATGTATTTCAAGTTAAGGTGGCTTACTACAGTTTTGATGAATTGTATTAGCCCGACTTCTAACTCTTATGAAAAATGTTCCAAAGCATTTTTCCTCTCTCTACTTACTGTTTACTAAAGTCTTTTACCATTCTATGTGAAACTTCAACAATTAAACGCAAACAAATGGCCAAAATAAACGACTGAGTATCTAAGAAGAGACTGGGCACTAGTAGGTTAAATCACGTTTTTCTCAAAATCTACCCGCATGACCCAATCTCAAAATTCAGGAAAAAGAAATTGGCTCTGATTTAAGATTCATGCAAAGAAAGAATTAAAATCTGTCAGGAGATTTTTCGCAAACTAAGAAAATGTAAACCGAGAATAGCTGAAAATCTGTCTTAGAGATTTCATTAAATTTTGGCTCCAAACGTGATTAACCCCCTAAAAATCAACTCTAAAAATTTCATCATGGGTTGTACGATAGGTTTTCGAACAATCCTTGATCAAAGACAGGCTTTTACAGCCTTGGACGAGAACTGAATTGCGCATGCCCTTTATTTCAGCGCGCGCGCACATTTGACGCCATGTATCGCGTGCAAGAAAGCAACAGTAAATTAGAGCTCTTTCACCGGTTGTTTATCGAGCTTTTTTGCCATATTTTTTTGGCCCTAAGCTTAAACACATGTTTGAGTGGAGTTTGAAACTATTGCTACGTATACTAAAGTGATTTAACGCCTTTCAAGTGCTGAAGTGGTTTTACTTTCTTCTTAGGGTTACTTGCGTCATTTTTGCACGCGCGATTAATACTGACTTTTGACAGGAAATCATAGCGCGCGCTACTGAATCTCCGAAAAACTGTAGTAAGCCACCTTAAGGAGCTGAGTTTTGACTACGCTGGTTGAAATAAGTTTATTGTCAGTAAAAAAGTTCGTGGTGCGTTAAATAGAAGCTAGTTATAGCTACAAGATCTTAGGTTATTCTTTGTTCAGTGGAAACCTACTGCGTCAGCTGAAGAAAAAAGCACATTTTCATGCAAAAGAGAAAACAAAAACAAAGACTGAAATCAGAGGAACTGGAAGCAAAAATGCTTTGGTTTAAGAATGGTTAAATCGTTTATACAGTTGGTGGACGATTTTAGAAATTATGTAACTTACCTATTTGTTTACACTGAAAAGTGAGAGGACTTCACCAGGAGATTTTTTGGGTTGTTGAAACGGGTAATGGGTTCATCTATGGAAGTTTAACTGCGCAAAGTCAAGAATCAAAGTCGGTAGTTGATCTAAATACTCACCTGTATCCAACTTGCTCCTTCTCCAATCTCATATATTGTTGTGCAAACATCCAACCTAAACCACAAATAAACAGCCCAGCTGATGGGCCTTTTTTTTTTTAGGAATACTTCTAATTCTATGTCACTACAACCGACGATGAAAAAAGTCAGGTTATATTAAAGCCTTTTTTTTTCTCTGGGCTGCCTGCGTACTGACACCGACAAAATTCGAAGCTGTCAATAATTATACTACTTGACATGAACTTCAGGCAGTAATATTGCTCTAAGAACGAGAGTCGTGTGCTGTATGGGTTGCTGACGTCAGCATAAGTGGATGACACTTTCTCCCTACAAATATAAATGTCAAACGACTCTAATCGCCTCTCTTATGCTATTAAATTATAAATAATTTCATTTGCAGGAGTCAAAACTACTCGGATCATCAACCAACAATAAACGGTTTATAAGTTCCAGTGTGATCTGTACGATGATATGTTGAATATGTCGGGTACAGTGTATACTAACAATTGGAACATTAGGTATTGACGTACTGAAGAACATAGACAATATAAAATAAATAAATAAATAAATAAGAGACTCAGTCTTAGCAAGCTGGTCATTTCATAGCCAAGAAGCCAATTTTTTGCCAAATAGTTTTCGATTCAATCATAAGAACTGCAAAGTCTTGATTGGATTGTAATATACTCCTTTTTATACAAGAATATTGTTTTCCGGCTGAGGCTGAATATTCTTATTTTTCTGCCGATTTTAGGCAATATTCTTGTGAACATTCCTAGATTATAGCGTATGAAATTTCTGATTTCGACTGAATTTGGTGTCTGGATGGTGTTAAAGTAATTTTGGAGCCAGCCTGCAGGCAGTCGAGCCTGAAATGACAAACATAACTTCTTGCAGAAATGTTATAGGCATTAAACATACCGGTAGTGCTGTTTTTGTTGTTTTTTGGCCAGCTGTGTCGCTAACAGAAAGGAAGGATTTTGTACGGTTCAGTTAAAAACATATAATTGTATTCTATTTACGAATTTTCAGCACACAAAATTACAATATAATCTTTTCAAAAATCTCAGCCTCGGGTTTATTCTTAAAATATTCTTAAAGTTTCGTACATTTCAAAATAATTTTTATATTTTATTAAAAAAGGGTGTATTTTTGAGATGATTTCCATTCAAGAACGCATATGCGTATAACAATTAATAGCACGTTAATCAAATCTGAAATTAACAATTGTGTTATCGACCAGGGTTGTAATCAGAAATTCCTACCGAGGTAATATCAGTAAAGAAGCACTTCTTTTACATTTCTTTAATTATTCAATATAGAGCCTCTTAATTGAACCTACAATAAAAGATTAAACTCAAATTATCCCGTGACAAGTGTTAGCGTGTCACCAGCGACAGCCCTGTCTATGAAAACAACTAAACTTCTTACGTTAATTGTATTGTTGTCTTTTTTTTTTAAGGAAGTTATGGTACGTTATAGTCAAATCGAAGCAAATTAAACCTCAAAATAACAGTTAAAAATTAATAATCGAAAAAAAAAAAAAAAAATTATGGAAGCCAAAATGTTGTACTTGGCCTAACCCCTTTAATAAAACATATCTAGCTTATAATAAATGCGCATTTTTTTTGGCCCGTTGTTCGATATACAGTGGACGGAACTGAATATTGTAATACAGCTTGCGCTTGACTTCCACTGTTGAAAGATATCCTTCATTAAACCAAAACCTCCTATCGTAAATAAGTCCGCAAGAGTCGGCTTTCACTGATAATAACGACAACAATTAATTAATGGCAACAAATGGTTATCAGTTGTACATGAATTTCAACCTTAGCAATCTGCATGCAACCACTAGTTAATATGATAGTTTAAAGCTGTCACGGACTTATCATCTGTGGTAAACAAGTGACAATAACATGAAACAGAAGGAAAGACAGACATATATCATTGCGCTCCGGTCATGGTTGTTAATTACTCTCACTTTGTTTTCCTAACATAAGAAGACAATACGAAAGAGTACAACTGTGAAAATAGATAACTCATTTTGTTGTATTCCCCAAGCTGTGAATTCAAGTTGGGACTTTAAAAAATTTCCTTGCGACCTCCTGAAATAGACACATAGAAGGTCTTTAACAGGGTGACGTGAAAAAAATCCAACTTTTTCCTGGCGTTATTACAGGATCAAAACATCTCAATATGATATTGTCCATGGGTCAAAATCTCTTGAGCCCTAAGAGACCTATTTCTGCACAGACAGGAGTAAAAATAGCAATTCAACTATTTCGTAGCTAACCACAAAATGCTCTAATTTTAGGAGCTTCAATCCTTCATTAGCCTAGACTGACCTTTATCAAAGTACACAACACAAAGTACAAAGTGGCGTCGTTTGAGAAAAGTTTTGTCCCCTTCTTCATAGTTTTTTTTGCTTCTTCTTCTTCTTCTTTTCCACGTTTATCCTTCGAACTTAAAGTTTTCCATCTTTCACGTACTTATCTCTACACAGGATATCTTTGAAATTGTTGATCCTAGCCGAATGTAGGACGCTCGCGTGTCAAATATGAACCTAGTAAACTTTCTAGCTGTTCATGAATCTCTCTGTGCCTCACTAGTTTGAACGCCCGACCAATATCAGGTGTGTTCGAATCTTATCGGGTAATCTATTTTCCTTTGTCCCGCAACAGTCACGTCACGCACTGTGTTAGTGTTTAAAATCCTACTCAGTAAGCCCACTTCGTTTTTCGCAAACAGCTAAGACACATTTTTAACAGAGCTTCCGATTATTTGCGCCATCCTACCCTACCCCTGACCCTACCCTAACCCTACACCCCTTTAATTACACTAGCATACCCCACCCTACTCCACCCCTCACCAACCCTTTTTTTAGCTGCTTGAGATTAGCGGTTAATATGGAACATACATCTAATTTTCTTTATCTCCTAAATTAACAAACCTTTTCTCTCCTACAGTGACATGCAATCTACTTATTTTCATGTCAAGTCTTTGAC